ATTCTGAAGCTATCGCGCTGATAAATCATGAGGATTCATTCTCGTATTGACGTGATTTAAAAGATTAACATAGTTGTTGGGTAGTGTAGTTAAGAAGTGCAAAACTTTGTAACGTCACGCAACATAGTCGCTCATTAAATCATTTTGAGTTACCTAAATCATAAGCTCTTGGACAATTCTTATATAAAATGTAACACTTTTCCCAAATCTGCAATAATATTTGAGGGTTAGTTTTATTTTTTTTTTAGTTGCAATCAAGGTCATAGTACATAAACTACCAACAAATCATTCAAAAACGTGGATACATCCTTGTAAAATATGTCAGATGCCTCAACATTTAAGTTTGCTTAAAAAACTGCAGTGATCTGAATATAAAGGGTGGAACGGTCAAAAATTGGTCAACTCAAATTTGGCGAATTTTTTTAATCGTGCATTTAAAAAACTTGAACACCCCTCATTTTGTATTTCTGTGCCTCTATTTTGTTTTTGCCATTTTCTATTCAGTTGTCAAAATGGCGTCGAAGCAAGAGGAACAGCGTTTCAAAATTTTGCTTGCGCATAGCGTTATATTGAACGATGAAATATACGTCAAGGCGAATTTAAAGCAGCTCCCAGGTCAAGAGTTTACAAGGCTACCGGAAAAGGAAAGGTTCAAAGGAAATTCATGAATCAGAATCCTCTGATTCTGTAAAATGGAAATTTTATAGAGTTGAAGAAAATGTTCAATTCCTGGTTTAAGGTCAGAATAATCTTGAAGAAATTTACAAGATTCTGGAATGAAGATTCAGCTTTCGGATCTTGAAATGTTTTGCAAGATCCCAGATTTGAAAACAAATATAATTTAAATGAATTTTAGAAAATTTTGAAGGTTCATGGGCTTGAAAAAAATATTAAGGATTCTGGAATTTGGTGGCATTACCATATATGAAGAATTATGAGACGAACGCAAAAGGAATTCAAAGGAGTTTTCTAATAGAGGTCTGACTGGAATCCCATTATAGTTTTGAGGAGAACTTCAAGCAAAATCTATGGAATGCTTTCAAGGTAATTCTGAGGACCTAGGTAGTTCTGAAAAGATTTCACATGATAAGAGCTTCAATTTAATTCTTAGTAGAATCCCAAATTGAGAAGAAAATGCAAGATTATTTGAGTATAATTGCTAAACAAATGTGAGAAAAATTCCATGTGAATTCTGAGAGCATTCCAATTGAATTCTGATGAGCAATTCAACGGGAGATCGAAGCGTTACTTCACCAGAGAAGAGTATACAAATAAATGAATGCTTGTTTGTTTTTCAGTGAATGTGATTTAAATCTTAAAAGTAGCCCTAAACTTTTGTAAGGCGTCACCTTTACTCACTCAAGGTTGATTTTAATCTACCGTTCCGATTCAAATTTCGGACGATTCAAATTTCGGACACTTTCATTTTTAATTAAATATTATCCAGTTAGAAACAAAGTAATAATGTTAGATGATCGTGGAGGGCACTAGTCAAAAAAATTTAAAATTTACAAGACATGTGGATCATATTCGACCGAGATAATCAACTTTTAAAAGTGTCCGAAATTCGAGTTTAAGTGTCCAAAATTTGAATCGGCACGGTATATAGGGGAAATGGATGTAATGCCGGCCTAAATGTCCCTAACTTGGGCCCATACATAAATTCAGCAATCGATTAAATTTTCAATAGCGACCAAAAATATCCATTACTTCTTCTTCTTTTTCGCATTTCAAGCTTATTGCATATCGCATATTAGCTTATTGCGTGCTCTCAACTTAGTGTTCTAGATGCACTTCCACAGTTATTAATTGAGAGCTTTCGATGCCTGTACCATTTTTGCATTGATATGATTGTGTGGCAAGTCCAATCATACTTCTATGCCCAGGGAAGTCGAGAAATTTTCCAACCCGAAAAATTCCTAGACCGGACCGGGAATCGAACCCAGCCACCTCCAGCATTCTCTTGCTTTGTAGCTGCGCCTTTACCGACTGAGCTAAGGGAGGCCCCAAAAATATCCATTAGTACCGTCCAAATAACGCGTTGATATAGATAAAATTGATAAATAGCAGCTTTTTAGCGATGGGCCCAATCTTAGATCCATCGGCCAACACTAGAGCCATTTCCCGTATCTCTAAAAGTTCTTGCGAAAAATCCTGATGTTTGCATATCATTCGCCCTATTTGTGGATTGGGGCATATTTCACTGTTTTGGTCATACTGCTAAAACTAATCATGAGGCATGATTGTCGTGCAAGAACTGTTGGTTGAATTCAATCCAGGGATGCTTAGGTAATCGTAACAGAAAGCACTTCACTCAAAAATATCGCAACAGATTTTTAATAATCCTGATTCTTTTTTTCCTTGCTGAGACATTTTCAAACGGATTAGTTTGCATTGGAAGAGTGAACGTTTTATAAAGACAGTCAATCATTCATTAATCCGAGGGGCACGCAATACAAATAACCGATGCGTTGAAGTTAAAATGCAATCAAAAGTTCTTAAAGTATGCGTTTTGAAGTAGTGCTAATGGTAATTAAAATTATCTATCCGTAATTAATGTAATTAAAAGTATTGAAAATATAATTAATGTACTTGAATTACAAAATTTTAAATCTAATATAAGGAGTTATAAACTAGTTAATGTTCTGCATTGTGTAAGTAATGTAATTAAAGCAGTAGGTAAAGGGTGTCCACGATGAAATTGCCACACTATGAAATTGCTCTAACTTTTTAACCGTTGGGTAGAATTTAATGAAAATTTGGGTGGATTTAGTTCATAGTGCATTATTTACATCCTGCAAGTTTTAAAGTCTTGTGATCAAAACTCGCGGAAATGGAGTCGAAAGAACAGCTCGTGCGTGATAAAATCTTGCGCATTCATCACGAGAACAAGGATCTCTCGCATCGTTCCATCGCTAAAACGTTGGGAATCGCGAATTCCACGGTGTCGCGAGTGATTAAGCGGTTCGAGGAACGGTTGACCACCGATCGGAAGCCCAGAAGTGAAGGAAAAAGTATTCCGTACAACACCAAAAATCACAACCGCGTAGTTGGGGCCTTCAACCGAAATCCGAACGCCTCCGTTAGGGATGTGGCTAAGAAGCTGCACCTAAGCCGAAGTTTTGTCCAGAAGGCCAAAAGTAAGGCTGGGCTTCGAACGTTCAAGGTACAAAAGGCCCCTAATCGCGACGAGAAGCAGAACAAGTCCGCCAAAACCCGTGCCAGGAAGTTGTACCTCAACATGCTGACGAAAGTTGAATGCTGCATCATGGACGACGAAACATATGTGAAGGCCGACTTCAAACAGATCCCCGGCAACCTGTTTTTCACGGCCAAGGATAAGTTCAGCGTTCCGGAGCATGTCCGCACTCAGAAGATGTCCAAATTTGCGAAGAAATTCCTGGTTTGGCAAGCCATCTGCACGTGCGGGAAGCGGAGTGCACCTTTCGTGACCCAGGACACGATGAACGGACAGGTGTACATAAAAGAGTGCCTCCAGAAGCGGCTGCTTCCTCTCCTGAAGGCCCACAACGTCCCAACAATCTTCTGGCCGGATTTGGCCTCACGCCACTACTCCAAGGACGTGCTGAAGTGGTATGCGGACAATAAGGTCAATTTCGTGCCGAAAATGTTCAACCCTCCCAACACTCCGGAGCTCCGCCCCATCGAGAAGTACTGGGCGATTATGAAGCAGCACCTTCTTAAACGATCTAAGGTAGTGAAGACAGTCGAGGAACTGAAGAAAGTATGGGTTTACATGCAAAAAACGGTTGATTCACAGGTTGTGCAGAATCTTATGGCCGGGGTTAAGGCCAAGGTGCGGGCATTTGCGTATGGACTGTAAATAAAATACGAGTAAAATGGTAAAATGAAGTTTAATAGTTATTTCTCAATCCCTGAAAATTTGATGGCAATCGGATGAAAACTCGAATTTTGCGAATCAATTTTGTGTGTGGCAATTTCATCGTGGACACCCTTTAATGGAATTAATTTAATTACAGCCGTTGCCTGCGTAGGAGTTAAAGGTTATTGCGTGCCCCTAGCATTAATCATAGCACGAAGTGTGAGTTATTGATACTAAGAAAAGAATATTTGATGCAGATAAGCTAAACTACTAACACGATTCTATTACTAAACCAAACACTATTTGGGTCTGCTTTCAATCGAGCTTACACTCGGCAGAGAACGTTTGTCACATTCTCTCTGTTTTCCGCATCTTTCGTTCTACTACTGTTCTCAGTCCCGAGTGTACGTTCAAGTTACTTGCCTGATGGAATTCACATTTAGTCAGCAATATTTAAGCAATCAACGATGGCTATATTGTTTCTGTGGACTTCGCGCAAGAGACCGAATTTTCCCATGCAGTTTGATATGATCAGTTTATTTTTTTGCTTGTACTAGGATTTCACACATTTCTGTACTGTATGTCAATAATACGCAAGAAGCCCCAAAAGTATGTTGTACTGATAAGACTTTCAACAGGCACTAAACCGTTAGCTTTTACTCCTCTGCAGAAGGGAACAGGTTTCGCATTTAGCAATGTGCGTACGCGCATACCACAATTAAATGCATTATATATTTCCTACATTCTGTGTAGTATTTTCATACAAAACGTCCTCATGCCAAAATTTAAAGTCTAATGTTTAGTTAGGAATCAACTTAATTAAATAAGTCAACCAACATTTTATATATTTATTTGGAATGCCTATCGAAGATCGCGTTGTAGAATTTGTATATGCGGTAAATTATTACAGATTACCAATATTTTTATCCACAACGGTAAGAGAATCTTGCACAACCCGGTTGGGTGTTGAATCCCTTTTTTACGGCGATCACGCAACTGAGATAGTATTCTCCAAATTGACTCTAATATCGAAACACTTCACTAGCACTGACTCATAATTATTTTGAAATCGTTATTCACATGAACGATGATTCATGAATTGAGGGCGTTCCTCGGGCGTAAATCATAACTATTTGAAACAATTCCTAACGCATACCTATGAGTAGAGCAAAGTAGAACGCTTTCCTCTTGAACAGCTGCATGTTGATCGGTGAAGTTCTTAGTCGGATTATCTCAATATAATTTCACTTATTTAAATTAATCTTCAAACACCAAGTGGCACACCGCCGTCGTTCGCCTTTTTTTTCACTGGAAGTTCTTTCAAAAGTCGCACAAATACTAGACCTTGTAGTGCGAACCGAGTATAGTAGGACCTGTTCGAGCGTATCAATTTCCCTTCAGGTGAATCAAGCGACCTGATAAGATAAGCCTCGAGCGCGCACCCTCTCCCGCGTGGTGGTATGCGATTCGAAATGTAGTTATGGCAATCGCACTTAGATAAGATATGAACATGTTCCACAATGAGTGTTATATGGGAATGGTGATACCGAGTGCAGTGTTGAAATACTCAAACCAAAGCAGTATACACTCGCATAGTTTTATCTCTATCAGTACAAACATCGCACACAGTCTTTGAAAATTTTCGGTACAAATATATGTTAGTGAAAAGCAAACGTAAAATTGATGTAAAAATATGGGTAAAAGTATCTTGATTTTAGGAATTAATCATCCAACTGACACAGACAGGCAGTTCCCCGAAGAACCCAATGTTCGGGCTGCTGCTCGCTGTCCAAATCAAGGAACATGACAAAGTTCGTTGAATGGCCGGTCGTCGATAGGACTCCGCGTCGTTCGCTTGTCTTGTAGATGGGACATTCGAAGTGGTATCGTTGCTGTTCTGGTTTGCGGTTCTTCGGCGTCGGTGTCATAGAGACGATGGGCAAGGTGTCGTACAGCACCCGCGGGAGGGGTTCATCCAGACAGTTCAGCTCTCGATTCCAACGTGCACCTTCCAAGTAAAGGCCCTGCCGATAGAGTAGCGTACGACCAGATTAATATTTGATGATGATAATTGAATACTGTCTGTGTTTGCATGTTGATGTTAGGGGCTATCCACAAACCACAGGTTATGAGAGATTTTAAACCCCTTTTCCCCTGGGTGGGAAATCATCTATCATTCACTAACCACCACCTTCCATCTCCCAACTCTCCATGTGGTATATGGACGGCCCTTTATGTGTCTTACTCACGTCGAATGTTACGAAATCCTCATTTTTACCCCGACGATCCTTCGTGAAAAGTGTGCAATGTATATGACATTTAAATTGTACAAAGTAACGGAAGTGAAGCATGTTTACAAAGAAAATCGATACATTATTGACAAACCAACTTACCCTCACGAAACTGCCGACTTCCGTGCGCTTCTGAATCTTATCCTCCGACTCAAAATGGGTTACCTCAAATGACATTACCAAATCATCGATACGTAGCTTATTCTTGCGGGAATGGTTCTGCATGACACCGGTCAGGAACGACTGTGTGAAGTAAAATCCACTCATCCAATAGACCTTCGGTTCACCGTCTTCAATCCAGTGTTGGAAGAATGCCAACCGTTGAACGAAATCGTTGACATAACTACCCAACGGTTTCAGCGAGGGATAGCTTTTCGCAAGCCATGCTTCCGGAACCTTCCCGATGCCCATCGAACGGTAGACCCGTTCCAGCTCCGGTATCATGCTGATCTGTCCCTGAATTGCTCGCTGGACGTCTACCAGACTTATTTTGATAAAGTTCAGCAGACGATTGAAGCGAGTCAGTTCCTGCCGCAGAACGGTGTTCATCGAGTTCATGTAGAGGATCGGGAACTTTTCAGCCGTGGTCTCAACGTCGAATGGTTCCGGTAGTTTCCTCATGATTTCGCTGCAAATCACCAGGACCGGGTCGGTCGTTTGCTCATCCCGGCTCCCAGTAGATTTGCCAGCAAACAATTGCGTTTGAGTTAGCAAGACCCGATCCAGTAGCTGCAAAACAATGCTTTCAGATAACTTGCAAGATAAACAGAACCTTTCTAACTCACCGAATTAGTTTCCTCTATGTTTCTGGTGATGTCAGCGTTCTCGTGCAGTCCAAACACCTCGGGATGGGCTGTCAGCGGCAGTGTCGATAGGTACTCCAAGGTCTCCTCCTTGACGGGATTAACCGGTACCCGGTAGGTACCGGATTCGGAAAGTTCATAGCCATCCCGGTCGATGGTATCCTGATTGTAGATACGATTCAGCAGTGCCATCAACAGTCGACGATCTTTGTCGTCCGTCACTCGTCCACCGTAGTTGCACTCGCCCGTCAGATAGATGTGCCCTTCGAACGGAATGTACGAGTGCTGATTTAGGAACAGCTTCAGCTGCATCAGTGAAATCTTCAAATCAGACTCGTTGAACTCGTACGGTATGTTCCAGCCGAGCGGACCGAACTTGCAGCGCTCCTGAACGACCGCGTGGAAGAACACCAATGAGAAGACACCCCGAGTCCATACCCGCGTTGTGTCGCCATGGAATGCCCCATCCAGATAGGCTTCACCGTTAAGTGGTTCCGATCGGTACGCCCGCATCATATAGAGCTTCAATCCCTTCGGTGCTTCGTTGGTCATCTTGACACTGTTCTGCAGGATTGATACGGGGAATTTGTTGCTCGGGTAGGATGTACACCAGAGGCGGTATTTAGGATGTACGTGTTCGTAGAGACTTGAATCCGTAACTAACTTCTCCAGTTCATCCATGTAGGACTCGGCAACATGGCAGTTCTGTAAAATGACCCATTGGCCAAGCTTGATGGCATCCATGATGGTTTTGGTAGCCTTGGGACCCTGTCCCTGTCCAAGAGAAATCACGCGACAATCGTCGCCCATGTACTTCTCGCTAGCAAAGGTCAACAAACTGTCCATTGGGTCAGATCCGGGGGACAGCATGAAGATGAGTGGAATTCTACATGAGCTGTCCTCGTAGGATGTACGTAGGTTGAACTGAGGAGGTTCGATGTAGGATTGACCAATTTTCTGAACGATGAATCTCTGTAGCGCTGGCACGACCTTATCCGGGCGAAGACACTTCAGGATGATGAGCTTCACCAGATCATCGTGCTCCGAGTACGGTTCCGGGAGATCACTCTCTTCGGGATTGCTCAAATTGTAGTAGGTGCTCCAGTCGTCGATGTTCGCTGTAAAGGATTCACGAAGCTTTGCCAAAGACTTGAGTGAAGTGGCTCGGACAAGATCGGTCCATGCTTTTTCTGTGAGCCATTCCGGCGCGGGATTTGGATAGGGGTTATCTAGCGCAAGCCCTCCGGTCAATAGAAAAGAGAGTTCTTGGCCGACGATTTTGCCCTCTCCGCGTAGGATTCCCGAGCAAAGAACGAAGGAAAACATAAGCTTGTCTTTTTCGAACAGTGAACGACAGACGTTGTTGTAGATCGCCTTGGTGAAGTAATCGATCAGCAGTTGTAAACGTTCGTCTAGACTGTCCGATTTCGGTGCTTTGAGAATCGTCTGCACAAATATGTTCAGGAACCAGGTCAAGTTGAACTGGTACATATGGTCAATGTTCGCTAGCTCGGTGGTACAGAAGAAGAGAACCGCTGAGTGGCGCGCAACCGGGATATAGAGTTGCCGGGCTGCATCGATTTCCGCTTCAGTAGCATCTGCTACCAGCTGTTTGGCTTGAATCTCTTCCGAAAGCTGTTTGCTGGAGGTTAGTATGTTGATCGCATTCTCGTCATCCAAGATGTTACCTTCAGATGAAGAAAGGACCTGCAATATCTTTGCTTCAGCATTGTACAAAGCTTCCTGGTTCTGAGCGGATTCGATGATGAGCGATTCTTTCTTTTCCTGCAGATCGGGCCGTTCTTGAATTATGACGGTTCCCAGCAGCTGCGAACGTAAGCCTTGTTCTGTGATCATGAAGTTCATCAGTGTTACCATTACGGCCGTTTCCGGCAGGTAGTGTGGGTTTCTCAGGTTTGTTGTGATGTAGAAACGGAAGTTGTCGTTGTACTCGACTAAGCTATCTCCAAATTTGATGAGATTGGCACCTTTCTGATGGAAGACGTTCTTCTCCAGAATTGTGTTGAGCCCAGAGTCTATAGTTTCTCCAACATTTTCCAACAATACCGGATGACCGTTGATCAATGCGTTCTCCACGGTTCTCATATAGTTCGGATCCATTTGTTGGATGATTTTGAGGTTGTTTTCCTTTTCCATGTTCTTGACCCATTTGTTGGCTTGGCCTTCCGGATCTATCATCAGAGGCCACCGACGGGCATTTTTCACAATGATTCCATTTTCAACCGAAAAGGTGTCCGTTGGTAAGCCCCAGTTTGACCAACTTCTAATTTCCATGGCATTACCCAGCGTAGTTAGCATGGAAAACTTGTCGGTACAAGCAATTTCCTTCTCCTTGGTAATCTGGTTCCATTCCTCAATAATACGGCTTCGGAATTCTGTCGAGAAGCATCCCAGATAGGCAATGCATCCCGCTGCCAGAAGGACATCCCCAATAACATTCTTCAATGACTTGTGCAGACTTTCCGCGCACTCAGACCAACGCTTCTTCTCGCCTCCCAGACCACCGATCAACTGTTCTGCGCGAATCAACTTCTTCTCACAGCTGTCAATCTCGTCCTCCAATCGTTTTTTCTCCCGGGACTTCTCTGCGAAGAAATCATTCAATTTCTGTAGCTTGTCCAAAATTTCCTGCAGTTCGGCCCGTTTGGCGTTGAGCTTTTCCATCTGCATTGCGAGCTCCGCTTCGGCCCCGGCCAGAGCGACCTTCTTGGGGGCGACGATTTTTGCCACCCGGTCGTAGATCTCCATTGCCCGTACCCATCGGCAGAGACCCTCACAGGCCATCGAGATGTTTTTGATTTTTTCCGGGACGAACTCCCGATCCGCAATGTAGCTGACAGGATGAAAAATGATAACGAATCTTACCAATAACTATCGACCCAAGCGGTACTTACACATCGCGAATCTTCTTCATAACCGAAATGGGAATATTGTCCTTGTCGAAGGCTTTGAGACTATCCAGGAACTTCAAATCGCCCAGCATCTTCTGCGAAGGTCCCCAGTAATCTTCGAGCACTTTTCCGGCTGAAAAAAGATTCAAAACAACGGTCGCATTACCATACCTACCTCGCAGATTGAATTGTTTTGTGAATCCACGCTCCGATAAAAAAAAGGACTTACATGGATCCGTCTTGCGATCGGGCTTGATGCCCTTGATTACACAAACCGCTTCCAGCACCAGTTTCACTCCAGACGGTGGATTCTTCATCGACTTGACAACGGTTATGTCGGCCGGTTTGAGCGTATCCAGCGCCGCGAGTGCTGCTTCCAGTGCTGGAACCGCTTCCTGCAGATCGCTTTCACAGTCGTCTTTGATGGCCTGAGCCGAGGCGGCAGCCTCATTGGCAGCCGTTTCGTCCGCCCCGACGATTTCTTTCTTCTTCTCCGCCTCGGCCGTTTCACGTTCTATGTTGACCATGATCCTTTCCGTCTCGTCCGAAGTTTGTTTCAGCTGTGGTTGCAAATCTTTAAGTTGGTCCTGCATTACCGACACCTGGCCAGCGGCAAAGTCCAACTTTTCCAAACCCACAGTATACCGATCGCGCTGGGATATGATTTCCGTGTGCTTTTTGCGGTACAATGTGTGGAAGGATCGCAGCATCTCCAAGTATGACGTAGGAGTAACGTAGTTCTTTCTCCCCTGTTCCAGGAAGAATCGCTCGGAGTTTTCGACGACTCCGCGATTGAACACCATTACCAACTCCACAAGCTTCCTCTCGAGACGGGTCAGCTTTCGGGTCTTTTGTTTTTCTTTTTCCTCGTCTTCTTTTTGGAGCGAGGTAGCAGAAGGCTCACTCGACGAGGTAGTTTCTTGATCTAGGTCCATGGATCGTATAAAATTTTCAGCAACCTTCTGCAGGGCATCATCCGGCCACGCAGTAAACCAATCGATCGTGCAGCAGTTAATTAACGATGGATAAATGCGGACACGTTTCTTGAAAGAATCTCCTATTGGAGAGAATGCTAGGGCTATGTGTAGGTTCTCGCGAACTCTCTCTACGAAAAAGTTGTACAAGGAAAGGGCTGTAGAGTCGATGGGCTTGTTAGTCTGTCTGACGATCGTTTGCATCTGCTCAAGAATGACAGCCTTTTCTTCGGTTTGGAACAAATTCGGTATATCAGCAGTGTTCAGAAGGGAGTTGATGTCTTCAACAAATGCCTCTTCTTTCGCTTGTGAATCGTTGAATAAGAACACAGTTGGTTTGCCTTCATTCCCGGCTTTCATGAGCATTTTTTTCATATCCTCCCGCCACTCGTTCATCGAGTAACTTCTGGTCACCTCAACTTGAAACACATCGGCGTCCACCATATTGGCAGCTAATTTGACAGAACTTCGCCTACCAGCTCCACCGAGTCCAACCAGTAACAAATGGCCGCGTGGCATCTGTAGAACTCGAGATATTCTCGAAATATGTTCAATTGCGAACCTAAACAGTACAAGGTTCATTGGTGACTTTGAGTGTGTATTGTATTCGCTCAGATAAAAGTTCATATTCTTTTCGAGTTTCACCCAGCTATCGACTTCATCGTACACTCGACTGACCGCATCTGGTTCCATGTAGTTGCCAAATAGTAAATCGCGCATATGTCTATCTCCGACTCGCTTGCTGCCTTCCAAACGATCTCCAAAGGCAGTTTCTAGCTTCATTCGAAGCTGTCCGTTGGCGGCTTCGTCTACCAAGCGCAGTAGCATTTGTTTATCACTATCGTCGATCAATCGATCGTAGAATACGCGATATGTTTCGTGAGCCCACAGACGAACAAGTTTCTCCGGATCAGGAAGCCTTTTGGCAGGGACCAGAACGATTCCTTGATAGATTCGAGTGACATCTCGTAGCGAGAATAGATAGTGTGATTTTGACGGAGTTGGCAGGAAGTTAGCGATTGCTCCACGATACACAGAGATAACTGCTTGACAAAGGTTCTTGCACAATCGTGAAACCGGTTCTGGGAAACCTTTGGAAAAATGCCACTCTCCTATTGAGGAGAATATTCTGAGCAGGGTAGTGTCTTCAAATGAATCCACCGAAACGACAAACATGTGACGGAACAGTCGTTGCGGAATGTAGTTGCTGCCTCCTATTAGACCCATCGCTCCCACAAACAGTAGATCGATCAATTCTATCTTGGAGGTATCTCGCAGGTCAGACCAGACCCTATGATCCAACCACTGGCGGATTAGTTCGAGAGGTGGTTGTGAGCCGTACTCGTCTCGAGCGGGCATGGCTACGTCATCGATGAAGTTGACACATTCCTTTCCGACGGGTGGTCCGTAGACTCCCTTCCTACGACGGTCTAATTTGGACATGATCGTATCCTGCATCTGTTGGGCAGTGCTCCGGGCCGAACAGTTGATTATGTTGGAGATGAACTTTGCTTTCGGTAGCTCGCGAATGTAGTTCGCAATGGTTGCACTCTTGCCGGTACCCGTTGGACCTACCAAAAGAATGGGCATACCAGCGGAAACACACATCTCCGTCCAATACAGAATGTACCCGGTTTCCTTGGTCGGAATCATCAGTTCGGAAACGATACAGTTTTCTGGGAGCGAAAGTTCCTCCGATTTCAACCAAGGCCACCAGGTTTCCTGTTCATCGAAACGGTAATCGAGGAAGTTCATTTTTTCCGGATACATCTGGCCTCGGTTAAGCGAGAAGTGTTTGGGTTTCGGATGGTCCTCGTTTGCTCCGTACAGGATTTTCCTCAACAGCGGGTCGATCATCTTCCTTCCTTCGACCGTTACGGTCGAGAAGTACGCCCAGGCGTAGCAGAACATGAAAGTCTGTTGAAACCACAGCTGGTTGTAGCTGGTAGTGCGTGATAGAAATATGGAGAAGAAGGTCGAGAAGATCTGCGGGAGAATATGGTTGAGATAAAGATATGTTAGAAATGGAGCACACTAACAGAGTAATGATGCATTTCGGAGATCTTGAGAACAGTTCCTATGGACTTTAGCCAATGCAGAGCCGGAGGAATGAGCCATTCTGCAAGCTGTTCGAATAGACCAATGTTGATCTCATTGACTCCCTTCTCTTCCAGGTATAGCAGATAGGATTTGTGCAAAGCAATCCAACCTAGTTGTGATGGTTCCATGTAGATCATACCGCAACTGAAATAGATCCCAAAAATAAGGGGTTTCAAATTACGATGTTCAAAGCTTCGAACCGTGAAACCGTTGCAGGGGAAGCCTGTTCCAAGTCAACTGTCTCAAATATCAAGTTCATCCATTTGGTCATTTGAATAATCTCGCCGGACATCAGACACAGCTTCCGGTTGTCATCTGAAAAAAAATATGCATAACACTCTCTTCACCATACCTCATATATATATCTTACCCAGCACAGTATTCAAGTTCTCGATCCAAACTGCATCCACCGGTCCATCAAATATGATCCATTGCCGCTCAAAACTGGTGGTGTAAACCATTTCTCGGAACGAATTGGCCAGAACTCCATCGGACCATTCGTGTGAGGCAGGATCAAAGCTACCGTACAGCTGTCCCATGGATACGGCTTTAGGGTTGATGATCCTATAGGAAACACCCTGCTCTTCTGACAGATGACCTTTTTCCCTACGTAGCTCTCGTAGAGTTTCCACCAGGACTTGATATGCTGTGGTTTTTCCACCCATTGATTCCCCCACGATCATGAGACCATGTCGCACTAGTAGCATTTCGAAGATTTGCATGACCTTATCGATGAACCACGGCGTTGGCTGAAGCTTGCGTTTGACCAGCTCGATCAGGAGTAATCGGACGATGTCTTCACGTGCTGGCTGGAGAAAAAGGTTTGTTTGAAAAAGCTCAAAACCGACCATTAACCGTCTACCTACCGGTGGAAGTTCCACACCTGGGAACAGATCGTTGTAAATGCCTTCAAAAAGTGGTATGTCTTGCTGCAGGAATTTCGGCAGATTTACGTCGATGATTGCCCTCAGGACAATCTGAGCTTCCGACAATTCCGGATGCAATCGGCGAAGCGCTCCGGCAGCCGTGAGAACTGATTTCACTGCACGCATTCCATAGTCATAATGGGACTGCGATGACAGTTGCTCAGAGCACAATTTGTATGTATGAACAATTTTCTGTGCCAGAATCCTTGCATCGTCAAAGCCATTTGAGTAGAGAGTAATTTCCCCGATCATTGCATAATCCGGGACCATCATGGCTACCGTTCGGAACAGAACCTTCAAATTATCCGGTAGCTCTGTACGACCGGCATAGCCTGGATTCATGGTGATGAAAATGTTACACGTGGGATCCAATTTCAGGGAAGTTTCTTCGAACACGAATTTAACGACCTTTCCAGCAATTGCCCGCTGAATGGTCAAAATCTGCTGAGCAACAACCGAAAGCACTTCCAGTTCAATTCGATTGAATTCATCGAAACAGGCCCATGAACCGGACTGTGCCAAGCCCTTGAAGAACTTTCCGAGCGCCTTGTAATCCAAGCCATCGGAGCAATTGAATACTACGCATTTCTTCGCCACTGCTTTGGCAAGGTCCTTGCAAGTTTCGGTTTTGCCGGTACCAGCGGGTCCTTCGGGTGCACCTCCCAGGTTCAGCTTGAACGCTCCCATCAACGTCCGGAAGCAGCGATCAGTCAACGGAGTTGTAACTAAGCGTCCCGTATTACCAAGGTATTCCATTCCGTACTTAAGATCCGTAGTTACCATACTACAGGCAACGTAGCTCTGTTTGTCATCGTCGTCAATTTTCCAGTAGTAGCGTAGTTGAGAGAACCAGTTAAAGTCCCCGGAATCCGTGACGTTCTTCTGAATGAGAAGGTCGATGATATCACGAGCTGTAATGTATAAATGGTTGTTAAGACCTGGTTGGTTAGATTGTTGCATATAACTAGGAACCATGAACATCAACAACGATTAATGCTGAAATTGTGATCGTTGCTCCGGTGCTGAGATCTCCTCTGACCAAATCTACCAGGTCACCGATTTGAGCCGTGCACTGCTTGGAGTACTCGGGCAGTTTGTCATCTTTGATAGCTTCTTCTGCCTCTTCGGTCCATTTCAAACAAGAAACAACCTGCACTACCTGTCCAGGCCAGTGCAGAACCCATTCCTTTCGAGGATCTTTGAAATACGATTCGTATGACTGCCAAATCTGTTCTTTGACGCTCTCGAGCATTACGATTTCGACCTCCTTGAGCCATTTTTCTACCAGACCCTGAAAAATCGAATATTTTATAAAAGAAGCAAACAGATTATGGTGAAGATCAAACATTAGCAAGCGCGGGATTGATTTTCCTGGTACAGGGAATCTGCTCTTGTTCGGCTGAAGTAAATGCGGTAATCTCCATTTGCGGGTCGAACTGCAGTGAGTTGATACCTTCAAAGCACTTCTTCATGTGTGGTTGTACACGCATTGGGTCCTTGGTTTCAGAGAGAATTTCAAGTAGTTCATCGTTCGAAAGGAAGAAGAACCGCGCAAAGTACAACCGTTTCTTCTCCAGATATAGGTTTAAGCCACGTTGTATGTCTTCCAGGTCTTTCAAGACAGTTCGTAGGACGTTTAATAGATCTGGATAGTCTGTCGCCTGGATTACGTGCGGATCGGCCATCGTGTGACGCATTAGTTTGCGGAATATCTTGTCAACGGATTTGAAGTGCCGCCCTTCGGTGGGCATCTGGCGCATGATATCTTCGGAACTGAAGATCGGCTCGAGGTACATCCAGGTAGCTTGAACCTGCAGCCACGTATCGATAATATCTTGCATAGAAATGAGTTTGTCTTCCCAATTGGTAGCTTTCGTGCCAAGCGCTGCAATGTAAGGCGAACCTCGCATCGCTTGCGCCTTCAAGATGTGATCGTCCAGCAGGGTTTGGATATCGTCTACCGAGGACAGTATGGACATGTCCGAATCGCGATACTGGACGCACACAAATTTCACGTCAACCCATTCCTCCTGCATATCCACCAGCTGTATGTTCAGCTCGTACTCCTTTCCGGCAGCGTTGGAAATTTCTTCCAGCCGGATCTGAATCTTCATCACGTCAATGTCGACCATCAGACCAAGGGAATTTTGAATCTCTGGATTTACGTCTTGACCCAGTTCCTCGGATATCTGCGTCCAGTGGCGCTCACAAAGCCCTTGCCTGCAGATGGCTTCCAGTATCGGAAGGTAGATCTTGAACTTGTCAATTTTCATGCGAATCTGTTCAGCGACACGTTTCGCTTGTGGACTTCCAGATAACTCCTTCAGTAGGACACTTATGGCATTGAACATTTCATCAACGGCATTGCTAATCACCGTGGAGTCCAACTCTTTGAAAGGACCGAAGTACCACACTTCGTGACAGGAGTCAAACTTGTACGCCGTATGCCACAGCTTTTCGATTGGCGCCATCCTGTCGATCATTTCGTTCAATGCTGGGAAGTAGGAAAGATCGATTTGCAGGAGATTCTCATCCTGATTGATCTCCTTCGCCTCTTTGCTGCATTTCTGAAATGGTATGAAAGCAATTCGGAAACATTGAGTAGAGGTCATTTAGTGCACGATAGTCGAATACCTCCAGGATCATCATCAAACCATCCACCGTGTCGACCTTTTCACGCAGATCGTCCAGCGAGAGCATTTCGCGTATCTCGCGTGTCCGGAAGTGGTCCATTTTTTTCTTTTCTGTGTTCAGATAGATCTCGAATTTAGCGCGCCGTTCACGTAGTGCCGTTTCCAGATTATCACGTACCACCGCAAGACGGGCGCCGCTGAGATCAAGCACTTTCTCCAGCTCCTGCGGCCACAGGAAGAGACGCGAATTCAGGTTGATATCTTCGGCTGGAAATATAAAGCCTAGCATCAGTAGGGTGTACTTTTCCCGAACCAATCGAGGGTCCCGCATATTACGATCGAGTATGGCGTAGGTCAGGAGGAAGAGAACACGCTGCGCGACTTGCTTGATCTCGGTCTTCAGCTGGTACATTCGCTCTTCTCGGCACTGCGTAAGGTAATTTTGAAGGGCGACCACTTCCGGAGTTTCTTTCGGACGTTCACCGGCATGCAGGGACATGTCTTCAAACTCGTCGCAAATTCTGGAACCGCATAGATCACGTTACCGTTCGGATACTGTACCTTTAGTAGCTTACCTTCGATTTTCGACCTGATTCAACGTAATGAAGTAGTTGATGACGAAGGCTTTCAACTCTTTGACCAGGTTTTCAAGGACTCGATTAAGACGACTGTTGTCCAGCATGAACAGGTTCAGAGGAATAAAATCTCGCAGGAAGTATATTCCATGCAACAATTCAGTAAACTTATCGACCAAATCCTTGAATATATCCAGCGTTGGAAGGTCTCGTTGGGAGAATATGCTCTCCGTAATGACCTTCATCTTGTTGGCAGCAAGTACGGGGAAGTAGTACTCGTACATTGGGTACAAATAAATAGTTGGACCAGTTTGATTTGCTATCACGATGCTCTTTACTCGTTCGTAGAGCTTCTCCATGTCAGCATTATCATCTCGTATGTAGTGTAAATAGCCCAGTTGCTTCGTATCCTGCGTCAAGTAGTACTCCAAACGTGGTATCTTGTAGCCGACTTTCAAAATTTTGACGAAGTAACTCTTGAACAGATCAGGCAGTTCTTCCATGTATGGATAGATGATGATCTTTCCGCTGCTATTCATGATGAACGAAGTTCTCCGCTCGTCAGCTGCTGTCGCCATTAGATCGTCGGTAGACTCCGATGTCAACAGACTCGGATCATCATCGTCTGCTTCGTACAGTGACATATCACTCTTCTCCGTGTTCTTCTCAATCTCGGTATCCGGTTTACCAACAACGGAAACAGTCAGCGTCATAAACGGTTTCATTTTAAGCTTATTGGATTGCGTCCCATTCGGAGCATCTCCCCCACGGTACGCTTCCAGTGCTTCGACCAAATGGTCCAGACTCTTCTTGATCAGCCCTTGCAAATGGTACGACGTCAGTGCGTGAATACAATTGAAGAAGATCGCACCTCGACCACCGTGGATCGAGTTACGTGGCACCAGATCTTTCCAGTACTTACGCATGACATCGACCAGATCGGCAACTCGGGGCATCCAATCGTTGATCAGTATCTGAAAGAAGTGAATCGTCAATATCTACCTCGCTCAAAAGCAACTTCAAACCAACACTTACATCCCGTGTGATGCGACAACTATTGTGAATCGTTTCGGTGATCTTATCTGCGTGCATTGGAATGTCTGTGCTGTAGAATTTGGCCGAATCTACCACCAGTAGGTTTCCGTACAGCTTATGCCACAGCATGTTGATGGCTTGGAGGACGGGATGATTAACCATGAGGACCTCTTCGAGTCGGTTCTTGGCGACCTGTATCGAACATTTCCACGGAACGGGGGCGATCATCGTTGCAATTGGGAACTCTGGGGGCTCAATCGCTAGCTGCAGACGTTTACGTTGTTCGTGCGAGCGAAGGATATAACGAACGAACGATCGCTTCACGTGATAGCGGTAGTCCTCTTGTAGATCCATCAGAAGGATGATCAAGTAAACGGCCTGATCTCGGTGAACGTTGTGCTCCGGGTCGAAGAGGTAATCGAGGAGAATCACCTCCGGGTAGATGTTAGGCCACAGTTTTTCCTCCTCGAGAATGAACTTGTGCGCTTGCTTTAGGTACGTTATGCGACTGTCGATACGGGGCAGAATTTTCTTGATCAAGTGGGACGGGTAGTGTTCGATTTTTTCCACCGCGAGTTCATCGAGCACATTCAACGTTCGTTGGCGCATGGCATTGTCAAAGCTGGCGGTGGCTTCCGAATAGCGTTTTTCGTACTTTTGCAGTATTTGGCGCTTCTGATCATCCGGGTGAACCGGTAGCAGGGCTTGCAGGTATTTCAGTTTTCTACGGAAGATGGGTGCTCCGTTAGGGTTTAAGGAAATGAACGGGAGACGAACAGATACTCCTTAATTGGTAAAAAATTGACTCATTAGTGAGTTTTCTCTTGTAGTACGATCTAGAAAAGTTGTTTTGGTTCCCGAGTGATGATTATTTTTTTATGTTTGAGGTGTTACATAAGATTATATTCTTGGGAGACGACTACAAAGAAGAGAACGATAATTTTATTCAAATACTCATGGCTAACATAGATCTACATTAACTTGGAGTTCTAATCAACATTCACTTTGTACTATCCAAAAATTCATAAGGAACTTTTTTTTAGCAATTCCCTTTAAGTTTTGCTCAGGACTGCATTTTCGAAACAAAGAAAAGAAAATGAGCTTTCCGCAGAATCGCTTAATTTTGAGCAATATCATTTTCGTGTAAGTCATTTTGTTTCTTGTTATCGAGTCACGATGAACACTCCTCCTGTCAATCATGACATGACTATCGTTTTTTTTTTTCGTTCGTCAAGTGCATCAGTTAATTTCATTTGAAGCAAAGACTTGTTTCAATTGATGCAATGAATGACTCGAAAACTGCTTCCTTCGTTTTTTCCACTTTCACTTCAATTTGGGGCCCATTCGACTTGTCACACGTCGCGTCATCAGGCATCAAAATGTAGTATCCATATAGTCAATATCGGTTGCCGATAGGGATGGCATCCGGATTATATTTGGTAATAAATTGTTATTTTATTTTAAACGAAAATTAAATTAACGAGGCCATTCTGAAGTCTAAGATGGCGGTCATCGGGCTCAGGAAAAGTCACAAATACCCTAAAATATGGGTATTTTTGGAACGAAGACGACGCGTAGATGCCGAAAATCGATATGGAATCCAAGGCGGCAGCCATCAGTTTTCAGAGAATGTGTCAAATATCCTACAATATGGTTATTTTCGGAACGGTGACGTCGCGTAGATTCTGAAAATCGATACTCGACGTCAATTTGGAATCCAAGATGGCGGCCATTGGTTTTCAAAAAAGTGTCAAATACCCTGAGATATAAGTATTTTCGGAACTGGAACAACGCGTAGATGCCGAATTTCGATATCCAACGCCATTTTGGAATCCAATATGGCGGTCATCGAGTTTCATCAAAAGTGTCAAATACCCTACAATATGGGTATTTTCGAAACGGGAACGACGCGTGGATTCCGAAAATCGATATCCGATGCCATTTGTAGGGTATTTAACACTTCTGCAGAAATCAAAAGCCACCATCTTGAATTTCAAGATGGCGTCAGACATCGATTTCCGGCCTCTACGTGTCATCCCCGTTCTGAAAATACCCATATTTTAGGGTATTTGATACTTTTTCTCAAAAAAATATCGATTTCCGGCTTCTAGACGTTAACATGATTCTAAAAAAAAACATATGTATGCTATTGGATATAATTTGACATTTTTCTTAAACCAGAAGTCGCCGTCATGGATTTCAAAATGGCGTCGGAAATCTATTTTTATTCTCTAGACGTCATCATATTGATGGGTATTTAATAGTATTTCCCACTTTATCTTAACCTGGAAGCCACCATCTCGAATTAAAAAATGGCGTCGCATATCTTTTTCCAATCTCTAGCCACCTCGATTGCAAAAATATTGATGGGAATTTTTCAGTATTCAGTATTTTGACACTGAAATAGTCTGCATATTGTAGAAGAAAAACGCGTATCTGTCAAGGATAAGCAAATAAGGTAGTGGAATTCAAAATGGCGTCGAATATCGATTTTCATTTTCTATGCGTCATACCGATTCCAAAAATACCCATATGGATGGCAGTAGTATTTTTTTTTATTTAAAAATGAAACGATTTTCGGCAGCTAGGCGTCAATCTGCTTCCAAAAATACCTATTTTGATGGACATTTGGCAGTATTTCCCACTTTTTCTGAAATCGGAAGCCGCCATCTTGGACTTCAAAATGTCGTTGGATATCGATTTCCGGCCTCTAGATTAAAAAAAAAAAACCATATTGATGGGTATTTTACAGTATTTCCAGCTTTTTAGAAATCGGAAGCCGTCATTTTGTATGGCGTCTGATATTGATTTTATTCTCTAGACGTCATCCCGTTTCTAAAAATACACATATTGATGGGTATTTGATAGTGCTTCACCGAATATTTGCCCGTCATAGTATTCGGCCGAATATGAAACGTTGAACTAACAAAATTTCACTCAATCGTTTTGTCGACCACTCATTTGTAAGAAAATGGTCGAATATTGGCGAAACTTCGCATGTATTCACCGAATACTAGGCCAAATAGCACTGTTCGGTGCAGCTCTAGTATTTGACAGTATTTTCCACATTTTCTTGAATCGGAAGCCGCCATCGGATATCGATTTCCGGCTTCTAGACGACACCCCGAATAAAAAAAATACACATATTGATGGGAAAACCAACCACCCGTCAATGATAAATTTTACGTCCACGTGCACATGCGCTTAAATGAGTGAACAATCAACAAAAGTCAGAAAATCTACGCGAGTGTGGATCGAACAATTTCGCTTCAATACGAAAGTAAGTTCATTTGACAATGACATACGAAATGAACACGAGTCAAGCCAAAACAAACAGCATGAAAACTGATCGAAAGTGGTTCTGTTGAAGTTGAAGGGGATCTGCTCGAAGAGATGACGGAATGACTTTCAATTGAAGTTGACAGTTTCGTCGTCGCTTGACGATTTTCGATTGAAAGTGACTTCGTTGGGCTCATGATTTCCTAGGAACTCTTTTTTAAATTCACTAAAAGCTATTACCGGAACATGATTAAAATTCCCATGAAACGTTGCTTAAAATTGCTTTGGCATCATCCTTGGAATTCAATTCCAACGAAATTTTCCTTGGAATTACCTTGAAATGCTCCTCTATAAGAAATCCTATGGAATTATTCTCATGATTTTCAATGAATTCATTTTAGAAATCCCTTTGAATTTTACTCTTTCCCTTGGAATTCTTCTCACTTTGAAAGTTTCCTAAGAATTCGCTTGCAGTGAAGTAAAAAAATCCATAGATTTCTCATTAAAGAATATTTCGCGTTCAAGTCAAAGCTCTCCTGGAATTCTTTTCCGAGTTCTTTTGAAGTTTTTCTGGAATTATTTTCAGATTTAATTGTAATCCTCTTTTAAACATACTCCCGAAGTTTCCCCCGAAAGTTCAAAAGGAATTATGCTCCGAATTCTTTGAAATTATCCTCAGAATTCATATAGAATTCTTCTATGAATTTCCATGTAGTCCTCTTTAGAATACCTTTGGAATTAACTTCTGAAATTCGTATGAATTTTTACTAAAATTTCGTTTGAATCCTATTCAGAGCTTACTTGGATTTCTACTCAGAACTACCTTGGTATTCAGGTTTCACATAGAATCTGGAGTTCTTCAGGACTACCATGAAAGCCGATTGCACTTGATGTTTTCCTCGCTGCTTCCCAGAACTCCTTTGGAATGAGTTCCATGGAAATTATCATGAGGCGTGAAAATTATGCAAGGTCCTTAATCTTGATGTTTTTTTTTCAAATATGTGATCTTAGAAAATACCTTGAAAAAAATTCTTGGAAATTTCTTATTTCTAAATAATAATTATTTATAATTTCAAAAAAAATATATTTATGTCCAGAATTTAAAAAAAAAAATCAAATTTTTATTCTATATGCTGAAAAAATTTCAGGCTTCTGAATGTTTATTTTTTTTTGCTACTGAATATAAAGGTTATAAACGAAAATATTAATTCTAGAAAAAAAAAACCGGTTTGTACGCTACAGTTGACTGTAAGAACTGGCATTACATATGGTATAAAAACATGCAGAGGATGTGAGAAATTCACATGTTTTTTAAACCATTTTTTTGATCAGGTTCAACCGGATAAACTATACCGAGTTTTCTTTAAAAAAAACTATGAAGGGTTAAATTTTTGAAAACTTGGCTTTGGCAAATGACCATGCATCTCCATCGAATGCTTCATAACATTTAACATTCATTAAATAAATGAAACTTAGCATGGGTTTGTTTGAGTTATCTAGCACCGAGTCTCATTACAGTACCGTATCATAACTAAACTACTTTGTTTTTAATTATGTACAACGGTTTCTACATTTTTATTCCAAATGCTTCAAATGAAACTTAATTTGCGCAAATGAAATGCGAACCAGTTTCGAAACGACCGCAGCTTCATATACTTACAGACTTTCATCCACTTTGAGTTTTTTGATGTACTGCTCATTAGTCAGCCGTTTCCGCTTCACCTTGGTCGGATAAACGTTCCGGTTGCCTTTCAAAGACGAGGATGACGACGACGACGACGACGACGATGTGCACTAGATAGAAGGTTTCCCACATCAGCCCACCATCACGTAATAAGCTAAATTTAAGACCAACTGCAAAATTACTCACAAACTGCGGCCGTCGTGCTTGTTCCTCCTTCTGCTGGCGGCGTTTTTCCGCCTCGCGGATGCTTTTCGCAATCATCCGGTCCAGATGGCGCTGGATGCGCAGCAGTGCTTCGTCGTTCTCCTCCGGGGTGCGGTAGGCAAACTCGTCGAAGTGAAACTTTTTCGGTGCTCGCTTCTTGCGGCGTATTGCAGGCAGCTTGCGGCGGCCATCTTGATTTACTCGACCGTAACGGCGAAAGAACTCGTTACCCAGCAGGACCGGTCTGGTGAGGGCTAGGTCATGGAAAATTTTCAGGCGCAGATCCTTGTAAAGTTTTATCAGTTGGCTGGTTACGTCCGGAAGGCGTTTTTCCAGCGGGGACAGCGAGGAGACGACGGATGGAAGGTACTCGGCAGTTTCGATTGAAGCTATCTTCTCCGGAAGCAAGAGGTCCCGGAGGCCTTGACCGTCACCTCGCGGATAGCGGTACAGACTGTAGTCCTTGTTGAAGCAGGGAGGTTTAATTACGTTGATTTTCGCTTCAATGAAATTATTTCAACAATTAATCAATCAAGAAAATGAGACAAAATTTGACGCAAATTACATATTTGTTCCTCTATGAAGTTCCTCGCTGGATCCAACGGTAGTTCATCCCTCCGGTATACGAACTTGTAGAACGGAACATCTTCGATGTTTCGTTTGGCTTTAGGTTTAACTTTCCGCACTTTTCTCAACATTTTTCCGCAAAATTTGCAAAACCGTTGTGGTTTAACATTTTTTCAACTTGGAAGTGAAAATTTTGTCAGATTGTTGGCCTAGTGTAAACGGAATCGCAGTAGCCAGGACAATCGTAACCGAGGGCAATGCGCTCGGGAACCACGTGTTCCACGATCGGGAAAAGTAGGGCAATAATCCTGCAGGTGTGTTTTGACACGTGTTGATTCCGTATTCGGTTCAACAGGCGACTGTTTAAAACGGGAGCTGTGGCCACACGTGGTGCGGTCGAGGTTGCTAGAAAATAAAAGTTCAACTGGTGTGTTTGTTTCCGGAGCATGCTTCTGGGGTCAACCAGTGGAAGCTAGTCAAAGCAAATAGCAACAAGTCGCCGACCCTTCTTCTTCTTCTTTCCTTTATTTAACGTCGGTCTCTGTTCCGCAATCTAGTGCCAATCACCGACGGACGCCCACCCCGTGTTGAAGGATGCAGGGGAATGCATCGACGGATGCCGTTGGGAAGGAGGGTGGATTTATTTCTATATGTTGTATGTTACGAAAATAACTTGTACGCAAGCTATTGCGTGCAAGTTGTAGCTGTGGGGTAGTGTGGTGCCATCTTAGTGTGAACAATAATAGTATAGAGTTTCTCGGTATGAAAAATACTATGAGTAAAATTTGTTGTAATTTACAATAATCATAATGTTTTTTATGGATATTTGAAACTGATATATTTGCTTTCAAGTTAAAATACTATTGATGCCATCTTTATCCAAAGATGGTACATACTCAACGCTCAGTAAGAGGACAACAGAACATCAGTAAGGATATGTATTCATTATGAAGTTATTTATGTTCATAGGGTTCTTTCTATGATTTTAATTTTAAGTTTTTCGATTTTTTTAGTGCTCTCCCTAGCCCGTGTTGTGCTTTTCCCATACCTATAATAATGTATAATAATTATGAGCACTATACAAAAACCATAGAAGTGCGACCATGGACGAGCATGAGTTGTATTATGCAAATAAGGCTCATGCTCATAGTTTGTCAAACAAGTTTATCCGCGGCAGTACTGTCTCAAATTCGTGGTCCTAAAATCCCCCGTCCTCCTAACCTCAAGAGAGAACATCATATTTGAATCACCCCTACGGTGCTACCTGAATTATAACAAATATACGTACTCTCGTGGAAAATAAAAACACAATAAATCAAGCAGAACATTGCATTAGGTCCTAAGTAAGATTGATAGATTCTCTTCGTCGACTTTCTCTTTGTATTCCCATGGCCATGTAAATATATTCTCAGGTATTTTCGGTACACAGATCGATAAAAGAAGCTTTTATCTAGCATCTAATATGACAAACACAACAAGAAACAGTTAGGGTAAATGTCGGCTTCGGCACCCATTGACTGTTTTCGGCAGCCAAAATTTAAACGTTAATTTCACTATGTTTTACGATCAACACACTTCCCTGAATGTATCCAAACGATTCTTTAGTCTTTCAGCTTCAATCTAATTATATTTGTAGGACCGAGCAATCCTGTTATGCCAGATTTTTCTTCAAATGAAGCATACGTACTACAAAATGGGGCTGATTTCGAGTTGCCGATAATAGAACAGCTGGTTAACACGCAGTTCTAATGGAAAGGTTGCCGAAGAAAAAGAGGCTGCCGACAATAGTCACACTCACCTGAGAAGTTTAGAGCGTTGTAAAAACGCTTTCAAACAGTTTTAAAGAATTCTGTCGATAGGAATGGATAGAGAAGCAAGCAGCAGATGAATTGAAACAAACAGACACGTCATATATGTGCGTGACGCTGTGAAAATGCTAATAGAAGTGCGGACGCTGCTTAGATTGACGAGAATACGTAAATTCCCCTATGTGCTCAAGTTATTAACGAAAGAGAAAGTCGACGAAGAGAATCGATCAATTTTACTTGGGACCTAATGCAATGTTCAGCTTGAAATTTCAACTGTGTCATTGTTTTCGTGATTCCGGGCACGAGTGTATTTTTTATAATTATATAAAGATATGATGTTTGGTGAAAAAATGGAACAGGAAATTTAAATTGTTGTCTTTAAATTCACAGCAGATATGTGGGATGTTAAAAACTATTTGGTAAGATGTTTAATAAAAAAACAATCTTTTATTTTTTCAGGTTTCGTTTGCAGAACGTAGACGGCAAAAATAACCATGCTCAAGTTCTTTTTTATGTTTTAAATAGTAAAAAATGTTACCGATAAAACAATTATATGCTTAGTTTTACTTTGAAAAGTATTTTTATAATATTATTGAAAAAAGGGCTGCTAGTCGAGCCATATAAAGCTGAATCTTGCTGAAGTATCAGTAAAAATTAAATGAAATAAAATAACTGTTTATTCAGTAACATTTTGCTGAAATTTACTGGAAGATCAAATAGAAGCTGTCATTTATTCGTATGCCGCAACTTCCGTCTACATTTATAATTTTACTGAAGACTCAATAAATTTTTGTCATTTCGACAGAAGTTCAAATTGCTGAAAGAATCATTATTTTGCTGTAAAGTTTGCTGATATTTTTTTCCTTGATTTGTTTTCCGTTGATCTTGTTTTCCATACTGAGTACCAATGTTACCGACTGCAGGGACCGACCCATCAACTCATGAGCCATGATGTTATGCCTGAGAAAATCCTGGTGGTTCCGACTGGGATTGAACCTAGGCTTTTTGGGGTGAGAGGCAACCACGCTGACCACCACACCAATGGCGTCGCTATTTGCTGATCTTCCATCAAGTTTAAAATCAGCAAATTTTTTCTGATTTTTGGCTTCTCCGATATTAGTCAGGTAACAATTGTTTACAATTCTTCCATTCCCCGATGACCAATGCCTTGATTGATCTTGTAAAGTAATGACATTTCGTAATGTACCAAGCCAATCGATGAATATTGTTTTTGATTCCAAAAACTAGTTGAATTTGAGAAGCACACGAAACATAAAGGTGATTGAATTTCTGTTCGATTGCAATACTCTCAAATTTAATCTAGCAAGAATAAGAAATCCTCGGACAAATTCTAAAGGGAATGTTCGATTGGCTCAGATTTTGGTAGTTCATTTGGCTCAAAACATTCTCTCCGCTCATCTCTCCCTCTGAGTATTTCTAATAAATATCGCTCTGTATCAAGATTGGTGCACTGTAAAATCCCGTAACAACTTTCATAATAAATCGTTACATATCTTTAGCAAATTTGACCATAATATGCTTATTTAATAATCTTTATAGAATTTGGTGAAGCTCATTTTGACATGAGAAACAGAAATCTTGTTTGGCTGTCAAATGCTGGGCATAAAAACAACTGATTATAAAAACTAATGTTCACAATTTATTATTCACTTAGCACAACTTAACACCTACGCGGTTTTCTTATATGGATGAGAAGTAGAGTGATGCAAAATTTAAAATTTTCGCTCCACAGTACTTAAACGATTCCAAATCGGATTCTGACTGAACTCTCAAAGTTTGAACCCATTTGGTGAGAAACTGAGATGGCACAAACCATTTGAAGTTTGTATGGGAATTACTATGGTAAAACCAAGATTTGTGTTCATGTCTATCTCATAATTCACCATATCGATCTGCTTCAAAAGCTTTCAACTGTACTTATAGTAAATTTTTCCAGCTACAACTTTGTTGAAGACCACTTTCTGATAAATTGCAAGGATCGAAAGTTATCAATGGTTCAATGCGCTGATGTCTTATGATCATGCTCAATCAACTGCTCAGCAGGCAACATTGGTGTTTCTAGGGCATTGAATAGGACACAACAATCATGGCTACTATGTCACACTGCAAAATACAGTGTTGCCTACAGAGCAGCTGCTTGATCATGTCATAAGTTTACCAATCTCTTAAATAATTAATAACTTTTTCATGTCTCGTTTTAAATAGAAACGAACTTCAGCAAAGTTGTAGCTGAGCAAATTTTCTATAAGAATGGCTATCAAAGCGTTTCGCAGCTCAATGTGGAAAAAGACTAGAAGGCAATGAACAAAAAGTTGAGATTTCCCATAGTAATTTACATGTAAACTTCAAATGGCTTGTGCGAAGTCTGTTTCCAACCAAATGAGTTGTAACTTTGGGAGGCTAATCAGGACCCGATTTGAAACCATTTAAGCACTGTGGAGCAAAAAAGTCAAATTTTGCATCAGTCTAATGAGAAGTGCTTACATTGCTATATAACCTTACCGGCTACCCATAGGCGCATTCCATGGCGTGATGTACCTGGATTCGCGCCAACTGTTGCAATTGACTAATTCACCTAGCAGATTTTCTCTGACTCCCTGATTTAAAAAAAAAAATGTTGGCTGCGCTAGAGGTTGTAACGATATCTTTTTTTTTACAAAATAAAAAATGTCACTATGAAAATGTGTATAGGAAAAATTTCGTGACTGGTTCTGATCTGTCACCAAGTAGCAACAACGAATTGGGCTCTTTAGGGGTATTGAGGTAATTGCATATTCGTAATCTGCATTACATATGGAACCGATATTTAAAATTTTATCAACTTTGGAGCAGTGGAACTATTTTAAATAAATGTGTTTACATTAGCAAAAATCTTCATCTTGGCGCCCCTCGATGGTACTTTCCATGGGAGCGATGTGTCAATTTGTTAGTTTTATTTATGTCAAACAGTGGTGATTTTTTTGCTTTAAATCTTGATTTAAGAATCGAGATGGAAGTACATGGTATCGACAAAAATATCGTTGCGATCGGAAAACGAAGTCCTTTCAGATGATTTATAAAAATCGATATATTTTTCAAAATTAAAGAACATAATTGTTTGGTAAAATGTCTCAAAATGGATTGAAGGACCTTTATTTAGCTTAAAAATCTCGGAAATTACATTTCTCCATTTCGTATGGATTCGCATACTTCTATAGTGACCAAAACCACCATAATATGTACATTGTATTGGCGTACTCACCCCTATATTTATGTCATAGACGTTATTAATAATAATTAATCTTTTATCAAACATTGTAATCACAAGGAGTAAAAATACATTATTTTCTAAATTCGTTCGATTTTGGCACGGTGCACGGATTAATAATTTATAAT